TCGTCCATCTGAGTGTTCAGGAGTTTCTGGCTGCTCTTCATGTCCATCAGACCTTCATCAACTCTGGTGTCAACCTGATGGAAGAACAACAAACAATTTCCAAGAAGCCAAAAGCATTTAAAGAGAAACCAAAACTAAGACATCTCCACCAGAGAGCTGTGGACGAGGCTTTGCGGAGTTCAAATGGACGGCTGGACTTGTTCCTGCGCTTCCTCCTGGGATTTTCACTGCAGACCAATCAGAAACATCTAAAACGTCTGCAGCAGACAACAAGCTCAGACTCCAATCAAAAAACAGTCGAGTACATCAAGAAGAAGATCAGTGAGAATCTGTCTGCAGAGAGAAGCATCAATCTGTTCCACTGTCTGAATGAACTGAATGATCGTTCTCTAGTGGAGGAGATCCAACGGTCCCTGAGATCAGGAAGTCTCTCCACAGATAAACTGTCTTCTACTCAGTGGTCAGCTCTGGTCTTCATCTTACTGTCATCAGAAGAACATCTGGACGTGTTTGACCTGAAGAAATACTCTGCTTCAGAGGAGGCTCTTCTGAGGCTGCTGCCAGTGGTCAAAGCCTCCAACAAAGCTCTGTAGGTGGATGGATCACTTAATGTATAACTATGATTGGCATTTCATCAGAGCTGAACAAACTCACATAATTAACTATTTTCATCACGTTTTCCTACTCAGGCTGAGTGGTTGCACACTCTCAGAGAGAAGCTGTGAAGCTCTGTCCTCAGTTCTCAGCTCTCAGTCCTCTAGTCTGAGAGATCTGGACCTGAGTAACAACAGCCTGCAGGATTCAGGAGTGAAGCTGCTTTCTGCTGGACTGAAGAGTCCACACTGTGAACTGAAAACTCTCAGGTCAGGATACAGCTGTTGAGTATGACTCTGAGGCTCAGTTTACCAGACATGAATTAAACCTGGTCTTAGACTAAAAGAAAAAAATAAACTTTTTGAATGAGGATATACCGTCCTCTTTAAGGTGTTCTGACCTCATTCATACAGCTAGCCAAACTGCATTCACAGTGACATGAGAGTCAGGATGTCGCCTCTGAGCTCCAGATATCTATTGCAGAGGTCTTGCATGGTGCAAAGGTACATGAAGATGTGAAAATGGAGTGAAACTGAAACAACAGAATACAGCAAAATCATTGTAATATTTGCTATACAAAGGTAAACACCTAAGTTCACAAGCATGCTAAGCTCTAAGCTAAATCTTATACCAATATAACCAAAAAAGGCTCAAACCCAAATAAATAATATGGCAATAACAGTGACATCAATACAACAATGACATAGTGAGGCTAAATGGTTAATATCAACAGCTCTTTACTAAAGAACTCATCATATATTATTTGAACTTACAGACAATGCTTCTATGGCACAACAACAGGATGGCAGCAGATGAACGCGCTCTGCATGTAGCTGAAATACAATCCGCTGAAGCATACTTGTGCTTCTCCTTTTCCTTCTTCCTGTCTACAGAGGAAGTTGTGTTGACTTCCTGTTCCGACGGCCTTTTGACTGGAAGTTGTGTGAAAAGGCTGTGCAATCATTGTATTTTTCTTTTAGTGTAGGGCGAGGCTTAATTCATGTTTGGGAAACTGCCTGTGAGAGTTTAGCATTGGTATTTCTGAGTCGTTTTTACAAGTTTAAGTCATAGTCAGTTTACTTCTAATTTGATACATGAAACTAGTAAGTAGTTGCTTTAATAGGTATTGGCTGATGGGGGGTGATACCTTCAATGATCCTTTGGATTCAAGTTTGGTTTGTGGTGAAACTAGATGTGATAGGGGTTTTTGACATGTTGTAGAGACTCAATACAACTAGTCCCAACTATAAGAAAAATACACTATCAAAATGTAATCTATTCACAGAGTTTCTATTCACTGTTTCATTCAAGGCTCGCGGTGTGTAAACTGTCATGGAGAGGCTGTGAAGATCTGTCCTCAGTTCTCAGCTCTCAGTCCTCTAGTCTGAGAGATCTGGACCTGAGTAACAACGACCTGCAGGATTCAGGAGTGAAGCTGCTTTCTGCTGGATTGAAGAGTCCACACTGTGAACTGGAAACTCTTGGGTAACAAATCCAAAGTTCTTACAAGACATGATTCCATCAATACTTCTTTACATCCTGTTTAGTGTCTGTGGAGATTACATGCAATCTTCTCAAACTTCCAGTCTGTCAGGTTGTCTGGTCACAGAAGAAGGTTGTTCTTCTCTGGTCTCAGCTCTGAGCGTTAATTCCTCCCATCTCAGAGAGCTGGACCTGAGCTACAACCATCCAGGAGACTCAGGAGTGAAGCAGCTTTCTGCTGCATTGGAGAATCTAAACTGGAGACTGGACACTGTCAGGTATGGACAGACAACACAACATCAAACAGTAATGTAAAAAACAATGAGTACATTTCACACAAATGTAAATCTATCGAATTCAAACCAGGGCTACCAGACAAGGGTCCAATGAGAAGAACCTCCTTAGGGACCAACATTTGGAACCTATCTTCTTTGAACCTTTAAGGCTCTGTTGTTCTTTTTGCTATTTAAGGGTATGGTGTCACCATGTCCAGGGTGAAGGGGCCATTTAATGCCATGTGGATGCCTTGGAGTCTGATTAGGGATTGAAAAAGATCTCCAAATCATTACAAATAAATAATTCTACTGAGACAAAAATCATCTCCAAGTGGTATGGACTTCAAATGACTGCCACTTTGTCTAGGACTGGCTCCTCCAGCAAATTAAGCCCAAGAGACGTGCATTTGATACAAAAACACATCTTCAACAACCCCAAAATGTCATACCAGCAGCTGCGGGTAACTCAAAGTGCTACATCTACAATCCAAAAGCACAACTTTGAGCTGCAGTGGAGGTGTGATAGGAAAATGCTTTACTGTCCAAGAACAACATTAGAACCCAACGGACATACAACCGGCCTTTTCAAATAATGTGCACTGGACAAATTAATCAAACAAGGTTGGGCTGTTTGGTCACATGACAAATTAATGCTTTTTTAGGCAGTATTTCTGCGGAAGAGCTTCATACAAACTGTAAAGCGTGGTAGTGGAAATCTTATGCTTTTGGGTTGCTTCGCTGATTTGGTAGAGGGCAGCTTGCACACCAAAGACTATAACAAAGGTAATGTGAGGCCATCTGTCTGAACTTTTGAGATGAACCAAAAATAGATCTTTCAAAAGGGTGATGATCCACCAAAGAAGAGTTAGGAGGGTTATAGAATAGACTAGTCAAAGCCCAGATCTGAATCCTATTGAAATGTTGTGGGACAATTGAAAACTGAAAGTAGATGCAAGAAAACCCCTCAACAACTGAAGAAACGTTGCAGAAAGATTGGTACAAGAGATTGTTTTGATCACTTGTACCAAACAACTACAAGAAGTAATTCCTGGTAAATTGGGAAACACAAGCTTCTGAGGTCACAGAAGAACAATACATCTATTGATATTTCGGTTCAGTACTAAATGGTTAAATTTTCCTCGTGCTGTGGCTCAAGTTCATCACCTTTATCTGTTTGCACTGTTTTGGAGAGGATCAAATGTTTGTACAGATATGCTGGAAAAGTCAGCAGCTTCCATGGGATACACGTTTCTCATTACATGACTGTTACACTGTAGTGTCTCATTCATATAAGTTATTGAATGCTCCTGTTTCCATTATCAAAAATTACACACTGATCTGACTGAGTTTTTTTTCCTGCAGGGTGGAAAATGGTGGAAAACAAAGGTTAAAACCTGGTCTGAAGAAGTGTGAGTGTGGACTTTGATATTTCATACTATAACATCACCTAATCAATGTTCCATTCTCTATTGTGCTTTCTTCATATTTGTCTTGTTTAATTCCAATTTACCAAGATATGGAGTAGTTTAACCTTTCATATCACTGATCTGTCGGTCAAAAATATAAAACTTGTGTTTTGGTGTCTTTGTCAGATGCCTGTGAAGTCACACTGGACAGAAACACAGCACACAAGAAGCTCAAACTTTCTGACGGCAACAGAAAGGTGACGCTGGTGAGGGAGAAGGAGCAGCCCTATCCTGACGACAAAGAGAGGTTTGACCGCTGCTACCAGCTGCTGTGTGGAAATGGTCTGACTGGTCGCTGTTACTGGGAAGTCGAGTGGAGAGGAGAGGTCGACATCGCAGTGGCCTACAGAGGAATCGGGAGAAAAGGAGACGGTGCCAACTGCAGGTTTGGAGGGAACGATCAGTCCTGGACTCTGAGCTGCTCTGATGGTGGTTATTCAGTCCGTCACAATACCAAAGGAACATCCATCTCCTCATCATCCCCTGTTTCCAAGAGAATAGCAGTGTATGTGGACCATCCTGCTGGCATTCTGTCCTTCTACAGAGTCTCCTCCCCTGACTCTGTGATCCACCTCCACACCTTCAACACCACATTCACTGAGCCTCTGTATCCGGGCTTTGGGTTTGGGTTTGGGTTTGGGGTGGAGTCTTTGATGCTGTCAGTGGACTCTTCAGTGTCTCTGTGTTCATTGTAAGATGGAACGTCTCTGACGTCTCAGTCAGTGTTGGTGAAACCCGTGTCTCCTAGAAATTAGAATATATAGAATACAATACAATAGTAATACTTTATTAATCCCTGAGGGGAAATTTGGTTATTACAGCACAAAGAGTAAAGTCACTACCACCATAAATACAGATAAACAAGCACAAATAAACAATAAGAACATGTTAAATGTACAATAAGTGAAAAAAAGACTCTACAGTTATATATCCCAATTAACACAAGCATGAGGCTGATGGAAGAAGGAGAGAAAACATAATGAGAAAATGTTCGTTAATGTTTGCAGAAGGACTACATTTGTTTTCTTCCAGAAGATCTGATCAGCCACAACAATCAAACCACCTGCCTCATATTGTCTGGGTCCCCCTTGTGTTGCAAAGACAGCTCTGACCCATCGAGGCCTGGACTCCACAGGAACCAAGACATTAGCAGCCCATCTCTTAAGTCCTCGGTATTGTGAGGTGGGACCTCCGTGGATTGGACTTATTTTTCTTACCCCTTCCCTTTTCCCACAGACATTCCATAAGACTGCGATGTACAAAATTTGGAACTTAACTTAAACTCTTTGTAATGTTCCTTGAACCTGTCAGCAACACTGTTTAAGGCGGGTGACTCATTAGGACATGTTTACTAAAAGGCATTATTACCATATGAACATAATTTCTAGGAGACCATGAAATTTCTTCATCACAGCTGAGTAAGTGAGCAGCTGTCAGTGAATTACATGAGAAGCTTTACTGTATACTGTTGGTATGATCAGAAAACAAACAATAATTGTCATTTAGTCTGCATCCATTTGTTAATTTTCATTTTATGTTGCCCCAATTTGGTTTGTTTTTCTTCTGAATTACTGTTTATTGTCCCGGTATTTTTTTTTTAATGTTGTGTGTGAAATTTTATACAGAGAGCTGAACTTATGTTTTACCTTTATTTCAATAAGAAACTTCATATAAAAGTAGAGAAAAAAAGTGTGTCATGGAGATATGAGCATGCTATATGAAAGCATTTTGGTGTTTAGAGAAGTGACATCATGGAGCATGGTCCCAGATCAAGGTGGTGTGAAGACAGAGTGGTCGAGAGTAGTGTTGAGATCAGGATGAGGGGGTTTTAGCAGCGTGGGGAAACAGAAGGTGACAACTTTCTTAATGAAATGAGCTTCATTTAGAGGGTTCAGTTAGGAGACTAGCATTAGCAGGGCATGAGGAGAGCTTTGTAAGTGATGAGAAAGATTTGGAAGTGGATTGGCTGGAGGACTGGGAGGCAGGAGATGTTCTGGATGGGGTTTATGTGATGGTGAGTGTTGTAGTGGGTGAGCAGGCAGGCAGCTTAATGCTGAATGTGTTGAAGTGTCTTTAGTGTTTTGGACGATGTTCCGTAGAGAAGACTGTCGCAGTAGTCGAGTCTTCTGCAGTTGAGTTTCTGAAAAGGTGACACTTTTGAGGTTGAAGAAGGCTGTTTTAGTTTGTGCTTAATATATTGATTGAAGGAGTCGGTTTGGTCAACGATGAGGCCAAGATTTCTGATGTAAGGGGAAGTGAGTACAGTGGAGCCACTGATGGTGAGGGAGAAGCTACGGGTGGATTTAGTGAGTGATTCTGGACGATTTCTGATTTGTCACAGTTTAGTTTGAGGAAGTTTGTTTGGAGCCAGAACTTTGTTTCTGTGATGCATTGGTAAGGGTTTAAAGGACGATAGTGGTGATTGTTTTGGTGGAGATGTTAAATGTTATCGTCAGAACAGTGAAACTGGAGTCCATGATGGCCGATTAAGTGGCCAAGGGGGAGAGCATATAGAGGAAGACGCCTTTGCAGTCTGTGTTTGTTCTTTCTGAATGATCAGCAAAGCAATTGCTGCTCAGAATCTCATTTGTGTGTTTTTGTTTTTCCTACAGTTTATACCTTCACCCTACGTCGGCTGGGATAGAGAGGTGTATAGATTTGTTTTAACTAGTGAACACATGAAACATAGAATTGAAATATACAGTTCACTACCCTTGTTAGTGTCACGTTTGCTCAGTTTGTTTAATAAAGCTTTGCTCCTTTCAAAAATACATTTTGACTGTACAGCGCTTACTTTACTTTGCTGTGAGTTCATAAGAGGGAACTGGTTTAGTGACATGGTGAGAGCAGCCAGCAATCACTCTGATGGTTTAGTGTGTAAGACTGAAAGACAAGCTGCCGTTTGATTCAATGAAACCTCTTACAAGTATAACTTAAATATAAAGATTGAGATTGGTTTAACTTTTATTTATGGTCAGTCTAAAAAAGAACAAAACTGCATCCCGTGATTATTTTCAATATTGGTCATTTGTGGCCATTAATGGACAAGTTGTCTGATCAATCTCCCAAAGCCCAGAGTGACTCAAAGATATAAAGGTTCCCATCATGAAGAACTAAAGAAGCAGGCAGATATACATGTGAGGAACGCTGTACGAGAATAAATGCAACAAAACGACACAAATGAGAAGCGTGCAGTGTTGCTGCATTGCCACCATGTCTGCACATTATCTTAAAACTGCATGTGTGTTGTTTTGTTATTGTCTGTGTCTGCTTTGTGTTTAGTTGATTGTGTATATTTTTTTATCTGTGAGGTTCTGACAGCAGGAATCCTTGTGTGTTTCAACACAGTCAGTAAAGCCGCAGATTATAACCACGTTACGAACAGGAAGGTAAATGAGTGACAGGACGATGCTTCCAGTGTGACTGAGCGGACATGTTTGCTGTGTGTGGACGGTCTGAATAAACAGCAGCCGTCTGTCTGTAGCCGAGCAGCAGCTGAACTTTGTCCTGCAGGGTGGAAGCTGTGTGAGCGCCTCTTCTGCCTTCAGCAGGACGAGCGGCGGCTTCGGCCCTTCAGTTCTCGTCTCAGTAGCAACTTGAGGAAGATCTCAGCATGGCGGAGAGGAGGATGCCAGGCAGGGCGGCGGCAGACCCTGACTTCCTGCAGTTCAATGATCTGACCTGTGAGACGGTCGGAGGGAAGGTGAGTCACTCAGAGTGTTTTCATGCTGCCACAAGCAGACATACCCTCAGATATAAACATGTTTCTTAGTCACTGTTTTCATTTTCCAGCTGCTCAGATACTATTTAGACATACATTCAGTACTGCAAGACACAAGCAAATATATCATTAGTCAAAAACTACAACAGAATTTAAATATATATCATGTTTGTTAATTTATCTTAATGACCGATTGGCTGAATGAGGGGAACAGCTGTCTAAGTAGTTTAATGATATTTAATCCAGACTTGCTCACCTGTACCAGCAGAAGAGTTCATTTGCAAAAACAGAAAACTCCATCTTCACAAACCTTCAGAAAACCCACTTTTCCATCGTCTACCTGAGACAACATCAATCAAACCTAAGTTATCTCTATTTTTGTCGTGTCTATGGAGTCAAATCCACTCAGCTGCAGTTTGATTGATATTATCTCAAGCAAACAACACAAAAATATGTTTTCTGAAAATCTGCAAAAATGGGGTTTTCTGTTTTTGCAAATGAACTCTTCAAATACAACATATGAATAAATTAGGGCTGGAACTACATTTTTATTCTAATTTTTTATTGAGTGGAAGGTAACACGTGTTCAGATGCCTTAGTTTGTACCAGCAAGTGTCTAAAAAACCCTCAAATATTCAGTTCGACAACAGCATCACACCGCCACAATGCAAATATGTGTAAAACATATCGATGCACACACACACACACACCCACACACACACACACACACACACACACACACACACACACACACGACTGCAACTCTTGCACAATGTACACTTCACTTCAGCTTTATCTCTTCACTCCTCAACATTTGTGAATATTTTAAGGAATGCTTTATTGCACAACCTTGTGGAACAGTCACTTCACACTGTACGGACATGGGACAAATAAAAACTCTTCCATCTTCAGACATTTAGTTTAAAGGGGCTCAAACTGACCATTTATTTTTTGACTGTTTCAGTGCTGATGGCAGCGTTGATCCTTAACATAATGAAAATTCACAAACATCTGACTGAGCTGCTCTCAGATCACCAATCTGCATTTTAAACTGAATGTTCAGCATCGATTAACCAGCAGTAACTGTTTTTTGTTGCTGCATAACAATCTGTGATAGAGTGGCATCAGTCTGAACATCTAACAGATCAGATTGTATCCAAAATGGTAAATTATTACTCATTAATCCAGTTCTAACTCTGGATATGTTGTATTGACTCTATTGAACTGGTTTCACACCACAAACCTTTGTTGGTTTACATGATAAAATGTGTTCATGTTGTTCTTCCAGGTGATCTTTGCCACAGACGAATGGTTCGCTCCTGCTCAAAACCTGTTGAAGGTACAACAACTCTGATCTTATTAATAACACCAATACTTAAATCTACACAGTTATGTCACTTTAAAGCATCAGTCTGGTGTTCTTCTTTTTTTATCGTATTGACAACAAATATCCCCAAAAGTGTGTTACTCCATGTTCCTTCTTCTCTCAGTTCCTACAGCAGATGTAAATCTTTCAAAAGACACAACACCAATATGGAGGTTCATTTTTTTTTTTTTTTAATTTCTGCAACAGCTGCTCATCACCAGTGTTTCTGGTGTATTCAAGGATTAAAGGAGCTCACCGTAGATTAGATTGTACAAGACCCCGGCTGTTTACTGCAGTGTGCATAATAAAAAACATGCCACAGTGCATCAATAAACAAAAAAAGAAGAATGGGTTAAATTTGCAGTGTCCAGATGTGCAAGGCTGAAGATTACAGTCTTAGGTTAGACAACATGAACAGCAGCAGCTTTGTCCTTATTTTTGTTGTTTGTATAAAACCATTTCACAACATGCCATCTCAAGGTTCACCTCACATGGTGGACATCACAAAATCATAGTTCTAATAACATGTAATGTCTGTGTGTTTGTACAGAGAGAGCCACCACAGTTCGTTGCATCTGCCTTTACTGAGTTTGGAAAATGGATGGACGGGTGGGAGACGAGGAGGAAGAGAATATCTGGTTAGAATCTAGAATTCACACAGACCTTCTCTGAAGTTCATCCAGTCAGACCTCAACACGGAGGGCTGCTGTCATTTCACTCTGTTCTTCACAGTCAGCATACAAAGACCTTTTCTGGCTGCTTGCTTTCAACATCTTTATGGTCTAGATCAGGGGTCTGTAATCCGGAGCCATATGTGGCTCTTTCATACCTCTGAAAATAAATAATGAGTATTTCGTTTAAATGTATTTTATTTTAGTTCGTTAGTTTTTAAAATGTAGTTCTAAATTTGAGGATTATGGTGATCTTGTAACACTAAAATAAAACGTCTTTAATTTTTTGTCACTCAAAACCGCCGACATGCGACACCCGCCAGTACGCGCAGTGTTGCCAACTTGGCGACTTTCTCGCTAAGTATGGCGACTTTCCAAATCCTCTTGGCGACGTTTTTAGTCAAAAGCAAGTTGCAACGAATCTAGCGACTCTTATCGGAGACTTTTCTGGCGTTTTGGAGACTGATGTGAAAACACTAAAGCTTCACAAACCAAGATCACTGGTACCAACCAATCACAGGTACAAGAGAGCAGGTCAGACCTTCACCATCTTGGGAAAAATGTGATTAGTAGCACGTTACTGACTGAAGCTCATCATGAATGTATAGGTGAGGATGCACAGTGGTTGCACATGCTCTGCCCTACAGCACTGGTTAGTACTTTTGTTTCACTACCATTTAAAGGACATTCATTACACATCACTCATCATGACCACGGTCCTTTTGTGTGTGTGTGTTCTTGTCACCTGTTTTGTTGAAGGTCACGACTGGTGCATCATCCAGCTGGGAGTGCCGGGGCTGATTCACGGCTTCGATGTCGACACGTCCTTCTTCACTGGAAACCACTCTCCTCACGTCTCCATCCAAGCCGGTTGTCTGGGTACCAGCTTCTCATCATCTTCCCCCTTTACGTTAAACCTTTTCACACAGCTTACATGTTAGCTCCATGTCTCCCACAGCAGCTGTCTGTTTACATGTCAACTAAAAAAACAAATCTTGCTCCTCATCAGACCAGCTGCCTGCCTTCACTCTGGAAGGAGACCGGACTGGCATGGCCGCCTCCGACAGTCAGATGGCTGCTGTCGCCAAGGTAACACTGGAGTTGAAGTGGTCGCTAAGGAAACACTGAGAGTGGGATGTTAGCGATGTACTGGTCACTGTGATGACAATCGGCGTGTCGGCATTGTAACATAACAACTAGCCAGTCACCATGGAAGCACTGCTAGTCATGATGGTATTTGAAGCAGTTAGTCACCGCGGCAACATTTGTAGTCTGCAGGCCACCATGGTAACATGACATCGACTCACTCACCATGGTAACGCTGGCTGCTAGTCTACAAAGTACGACTGACAGCAAGCTGGTCCCCATGGTGACCAACTTGGTTTGGTTGGATTGACAGCTGATTGATTATCAGCTGATTTGTGGTTTGATTGACAGCTGACATGTGCTCTGATTGGCAGCTGGGCTCGGAGGCGTGGCCAGAGTTGGTGAGTGTGTCTGAGCTGCAGCCTGGATACTCAGACTGCTGCCACAACTACTTCAGGGTCAACTGTAACTGGAGAGTCACACACCTGCGCCTCAACATGTACCCAGGTACACACACACACACACACACACACACACATAAACAACATGCATTTAATATTACACAGTGTGTGCGTGTGTGTGTCCTCAGATGGAGGGATAGCCAGGCTGCGGGCGTACGGCGTCGGGCAGAGAGACTGGTTGTCTGTCTCCACCAACCAGCTGGTCGACCTGGTGGCTCTGACCAATGGCGGAGTCTGCCTCGGCTACAGCGACGCCCATTTTGGGCATCCACGCAACATGATTGGTTGGAGTCAACTCAGATTATTTGTGCATTAGCTTTTTATCTTTATTGTTGCTGTGTGTTGTGTAAGTGAGCTGCTTGTGGCCCTTGTGGGTGAATTTGTGACTCTGGTGACACTGCTGCTGTGTGTGCAGGTCTTGGTCGAGCTGCCAACATGGGGGACGGATGGGAAACAGCCCGGAGACTGGACCGACCCAAAGAGCTGAAGGTTTAAACAGCAACACTCAAATTAACCTCATTCTTATTCTACTTTCCAAGATGTCCTCACCTCTTTGGTGTCCCACTTTGCAAAAATGTTGTCAATTTTCAAGATGTGAAGAATTTCTAAAAAAATGTTTCCTTATTGTCAACAGTGTCCTCAGTTTGAGGAATGTAGCCATTTTTATTTTCTGAAGATGCCCCATTTAGATTTACTTTAGAAGGTTTCACTGTCTGATAAAGAGAAGAAATTTTATTTTTTTTTTTAAATAAGTACTTTATCAAAGTCCCCTCTTTAAAATGAATAGCTTGTGAAATAATTAGGAAAATATCCTGTTTCATATTTATATATGTTATATATATATATATATGTTATTATATGTTTTATATATTTTAATTTTTCTAAAATGTCTCACTATCCAAACTATCCTTAGTTTTAAAATTGTTCTCATTCATTTTTTCATTTCAATGTATTCTCCAACTTAAAACGTCTTTACATCAAACGTGAACCGTCCTATTCATGTGTGGACTCTGTTGTGTCAGGTGTTAAATGCCTCCCTGCTGGTTGTCTTGCAGGTGGACCAGCGGGGGATCTTGCAGGTGCCTGGCTGGGAGTGGGTGGTGTTTCGACTCGGTCATCCCGGACTGATCAGCAGCATCGAGATCGACACCAACCACTTCAAAGGTAAAGACACGTCTCAGGTGTTTCACTTCACTTTTCTTCTCAAATGCAGCTGTTCATTCTGGTGTTTTTCCATTCAGGTAACTTCCCAGACTCCTGCAGGATCGAGGCGTGCACTTTGACCCCCGAAGAGGAGGCTCAGTGCATCAGGACGAGGTGGAATTCTGGGAAATGGCAGGTCCTTCTTCCTCCTCAGAAGGTACGTTTTTGTTGTGTGAAGAAGTTTTCTTTGGTTACGTTTCACCTTCTTGATCATCGTCTTCCTCTCTGTGCTGCAGCTTCGTTCTCACCACAGGCATCACTACAGTGAGACGGAGCTGACGCTGAGTCATCCTGTCAGTCACGTCCGTCTCATTATCGCTCCAGATGGAGGAGTCAGCCGCCTCCGGCTCTGGGGTCGACTCACGCCGACCACTGCAGCTTCGATCAATCAGAGGAGACCAACATCTAAACTCTGACACACCTCAGACCTGCAGATCGAGAGGGTTTAAATATGTTAGTTTGCAGTGTGCAAATAAATCATGTGACAGTCGAATGAATGATGAAGTAAACACGACCCAGTCACACACACACACACACACACACACACACACGCACACACACACACACACACAGTAAAACATTCTGCAAAGCAACGTGACAATGAAATCAAGGGACTAAACATTTCACACCGAACTCGTTTAATCTTTTATTTCAGACTTTAAGTTCGATGCAGATCTAAATTACAGGTGTGAAACCTAAACTCTGGTTTGAAAAAAAAGTGGTGAGCTTAGTCCAGACAACATAGAATATGGTTTGATTGGTTCCTACAAGGTGCGATCACAAACTTCTGTGATTCTGTAAAATCAAAAACAGTCCCTGATTTAAATTTACATGCCACATCCCTGTCGAAGTAGTCGTCTGGTGCAGTGACACACTGCTCCCAGTGCTCCTGCAGTGTTTGTAATGCTTCCTGGAAGTCTAATCATGTAAACACTTAGATCACCATCTGCAATGGCTGATGAATCTCCTCCACTTGATCAAAACAGCAATCCTTAAGCTACCATTTCATTTTGGGGAAGAGGAAGAGGCCACTGAAAGCCAAATCTGGCCAGTAGAACAGTTGGAGAACAACATTGGTGTTGATGGTGTGGCTGTGGCTCAACAAAGGAGTGCAATCAGGCTCACAGCAGACTGACATTGTGCCACATTTCAGGTCGTTTGTGTTGATCTTCTCCTTCAATCACCTCAGGGCGTTACAGTGAAATTCGGCCTGGATTTTCTAATCCATCCATCCATTATCTATACACCGCTTAATCCTCTCTGGGGCTGGAGTCTATCCCAGCTGACTCAGGGTGAAGGCAGGTTCACCTGGACAGGTCACCAGTCTATCACAGGGCTACACTTAGAGACAAACAACCAAGCACACTCACATTCACACCTACAGACAATTTAGAATCACCAATTAACCTCAACATGTTTTTGGACCTTGTGGGAGGAAGCTGGAGAACCCGGAGAGAACCCACGCTGCACGGGGAGAACATGCAAACTCCATGTAGAAAGATCCAGCACATTACATTACACATTACTGAAATATAGTCTGACAACTTCACAGTCAAATGCACACTTTAGGCATTTTCAGGGAAAATGAGAGAGAGGAGAGCAATTCCTGAAGATAAAGAAACTGCAGCAGCGACATACAAGGTGCTCAATGAAAAGCAGCGAAAGCAGCAGATGTGTGAAGACGTCCTCAGTTGCAGCAATGTGGACGTCAGAATCAATTAATGTTCAGAGAAAAATTAAAGAAACGAGCAGATTTGAGAGACGAAAGTTCCCTCCAAGATTCATGATTGTTACAGAACAAAACAGAATCACATCACAGACAACTTGTTCCAAAATGCAAAACTCTCGCTGTTACAGTACGACTGTGTTCTCATCACGTTCAACACGCTGAGCTCCAAACCGGTTTCTCTAAAACAGACATCCCTGGTCATCTTTCAAAAGCCACGATTTAAAAAGTTTTTGTCGAATCCTCAAAGATTCTTCTGTCCATCTTGATTAAAAAACATCTCTTCCACTGCACCGCTAGTTATTCTACAAATGTGTATTTAGAAACAAATTTGCCCTTTTAATTGTGTTTTAATGGATACAGATGAATGGGAGGAAAACAGTTTTAACTCTTAAAATCAAATCTTCAACTCAGTAAAGTGTGCAGAAGCAATTGCTTTCTGAAATGACCATTCCCTCAGTTGGTTGAGCTGCAGCCTATTTGAAACAATACAAGCAAATTATTGATGCTTTCTGTATGAACATTAGAAATAATAGAAAATGTCAGTAAAATGTAGCTGACACTACACTTTTATTTGTTAATTATTTTTGTCCCTGCAGTCTAAACAAAGCCCGTCTTTGTTGCCTCGGATTCGTGCATCAGGAAACGACTCCCCACCTATGCCATTTACCCACAATCCCCTCTGCTTCTCTTCATCACATTCATTTATCCTCCATCAGTCAGCTGAGCATCTCTTCTCAATTAATAACACGAGATAACCGTTTCAGTTTGGGGGAGAGGAGGGATCGATGACGTCTCCACCTTCTTCTTCCTCAGAAATTAGTGTTAAAAAATCAAATGGCCATCGATCTGCTGCTCATTGATTTCCTTTGCTCTTCACCTCCGTCATTAGTTCTCATCCATCTGTGTTTTCTGCCTCCTCTCTCTCTCGCTCAGGCTCAAGGTCAACTTTAATCAACCTCAGGCGGCGTTGTCACCCGCCTCCCCCTCGCAGCCCTTCCGCTGTCATCCCCGGCTGACCCCCCTCACCTCAGTGAAGTGAAGAGCTGAATGAGGCGCGTCCTCATCAGGGATCCTGTATTCTGCACGATGCTCCAGGACGTGCGGCCTCTAAATCCGTCTGCAGGTCAAATATAAAAAGATCAGACTATCACATCGTCAGATCTGCATTCTGATTGACATCTGGAGAAAACAGCTGTGCCATATGGTTTGTTTATTTGTTTGTTTGTTTTCTGGGGGGTTGGGAGGTGTTTAGGTTTGTTGTGTTTTCTTTAGGTTGGTCAGTTAAACCACCTGCTTTATAACAGACCTTTGTCACATCAGTCGCAACAGGAGAAACACTGGTGTAGAGGTGGACATTAAAAATTACTGGATTGCATTTCCATCCATTATCTATACACCGCTTAATCCTCACTGGGGTCGTGGGGGGCTGGAGTCTATCCCAGCTGACTCAGGGCGAAGGCAGGGGACACCCTGGACAGGTCACCAGTCTATCACAGGGCTACACTTAGAGATAGACAACCAAGCACACTCACATTCACACCTACAGACAATTTAGAATCACCAATTAACCTCAACATGTTTCCGGACTGTGTGAGGAAGCTGGAGAACCCGAAGAGAACCCACGCTGCACGGGGAGAACATGCAAACTCCACACAGAAAGATCCTGGATGTCCTCACTGGGACGCGAACCAGCGACCTTCATCCTGCGAGGCAACAGTGCTAACCACTGAGCCACCTTGCAGCCCTGGATCGCATTTAAAGGTCCCAAATGGGAAAAATCCATTTCAATTTTGTACGTCTTAAAAACTTGAAGCTAAACATAAAATCTGTGAGAATATGAAGACAACTGCAACTCTTCAAATAGGTGACCTCCCAACTTTAGACTCCAGTCAGAATTTTTTCTCAAATTCCTCCATCAGCAGGTAAAAAAAGAAGTTTAATCCAGGCTTGTCACTGTCCACTGCTTCACCACAGCAACATGAAAATCCAGTGTTGACTCATTGTGTGGTTAATGTCGCTAACGGTAACTTCAGCTTTGGTCAAATGCCCACAAGTCAGAACTTGTAATGCAGAATAACATTTAGATACATAATGGAAACGTTGGGACTAATTTGAGCCCAGTGAACAACAACTGGGTGTATGATTGAGTTTTCATGTCACCTGTTGTGCTTCAGTGCACAACAGTGTTCATCTGTTCATCCTGCTCCCTGCGCTCACATACGCTGTATCTCACTGCTGTCAGTTTCCAAGTAGAGCTGTTCTCGTTCACATAGTTTTCTGTTTCTGTTGTCAAAGGAACGAATATAAACTGGTGACACACATTTAGACGGCACATGCAACATTGTCTGACAAACTCAACATACGTGTAGGTTAAAAACAATGGCAACGCTGTGAGTTTGGTGGCATTTCCGTGTAAAATAATCATTCGGACAGGAAGTTAGAAAGAGTAGAAACTCCTGGTCTCACACATACATTAAGCTGCTGTTTTGTCAAGTGTTTTTCTGCTTTTATGGTGCACGTCCACAGGATTCGTTACTTTGACGATTTCCAAACACCGCTGTGTCGTGTCGTCCGCTCCACATTTGCATAAAGTTGAGGTCTCATCTACTTTAACGAAACTCTCATCTTACTTTTCAAATGAGGCGAATCGAGCGGAGGTCCGTTGCCTCGTGAAACTTTTGTAAAACCCTTTAACTAGCTGTTGCTAAACTAAAATGAGGGCAGATTCAGCAACTGCATAACTTATTGGTGACCTAGGATGTTTTCAGAAACACATTTCCCTGAACTGTTTTTGTAATAAACGTTGTGAACGAGCCTCCATGTTGGTTTGACGCCTGAACAAGATTCTGGGGAAGGTTAGAGGCAGTTCTCACACCACCTAGTGGCTCGCTAGCGACGCACCTTTCAAGCCTGCGATGTTGGAGAACAGTCCGATGTTTTGCATGTAAAACTGCCCCAATGGACAAGTACCTTTAATTATAGAAACCGTCTTCTTCCTGAAAGGACACAGACAACAGCAGCTCAGCTAAATTGGAAGCTACAGACACTAAAACTGACCATTTAGAACTAAAACCCAGAAATGAACCATCTTTGCAGTGTTTAGAGCCAACAAATTGAGTCCAACATTCTGGGTACATGTAAGACTTCCGTTAACGTGCTGAAAATAGGCACAATGTGAGACCTTTACGGGAGCGCTGACTGGTGTTAGCGCTCACTGGGATACCTGCTGGAGCTGAGCCAGTATTATTGAAAAGCGTTTCACCTTCGCTTCTCCTGCTGTGACACGTCACCATGTCTGCTGAGGAAAAGGTCAGTAAGAACATGGAGAGAGCAGCAGTGTTTCTCAAAGTCCTGGGCAGCAGGGATTAATCACACGTCTCAGTGTTGTTGTTCCATCAACTGTCCTCCATTAGATTGTGTTTTTTATCATTTGATGAATAAAATCTTAACAAGATTCGTCCTCAGAGGCCGACGTCCTGCTGAAGAAAGAGCCTGTTCATGTGTCGACCTGCTGTGCTTCAACATCTGAACCTCCTCCTCCCTCCTCCACTCGCAGCGCTGAGCTTGGACCTGACCTTTGACTTCGCCTGGGCAGCCTCAGCGGTGAGGCGGACGTTTGTGTCATCTGCTCAGACGTTACTGTCGACCTGCTGAAATTATGGCAATTAGCCGTCCTGTGTGGGCTCTCAAGAGTGTGTGTTTGTGTGTGTGTGTCTGTGTGTGTGTGTGTCTGGTAGTTTTAACCCTGAAAGGATCACTCCAGTGATTTTCCACC